TTTAACTCATTTAGTGCAGAGTATGTGGGCTGCTGTTTCAAGCACAATCACTGACCTGACACATATTGCTTGCTACGGGTAACTTGTTTTGGGTTAACTGATATATGATGTGTCAAAGAGCTTAAACCTGAATATGTGTTTAAAAAACAGTGCCTTTCAAACACAATTTAACTTAATCAAATGCTCCTCTTTGCGCACACACATCATTTTGTTCAAACCTGTGATTCATTAATACCTCATAATTTCTACAACCAAGAACAAAAATGAAGGAAAAACTGCTGTGCTTCTCTAACATTTAACCCACTTCTTTTGATCTCCGAATGATGCAGCTGCAAAACAATAGAAACAATCGAGCTCAAGTGCAACTCCTTTCCAAAAATAAGCACTCAAACGGGGGGTCAGGTCCCCAGGTCTGTGCGCATCTAGGCCACAGGGTTACCTTGATGGCAGTGGAAGCAATCTGGAGGTGGTGCAGTTTGCGCAGAGTGCTCTCTCTGTCTATGAAGTAGGAGGCAGCCAGCTGGTGCAGGGCCTCCAGAGTCACAGCCGTGCCATTTGAGTCAGTCAGGTCCGCCGTCCGGCTTAGCCTCCTCTTGTCCACAAATATAGTCAACGCCTCCTCACCTGCAACAGGGCAAAGCAACATAAAAGAGTGAGGAATTCTGGTGAAAATGGCTTCATAAAGTAAAAAAAAAAGTATTTAAAATTTATGTTAGGAAAAGTGAAGCAAGGGAATTATATATACAGTGAATGTCTAAGATGAAGGGAATAGAAAATGGACAATTTACCAAATAAAAGATAGCACTTATAAATAATGAGAAAGTAAACTGTCATTTAAATCCTGTTTAAACTTTACATAATGCTGTACAGATGCGTAGTTCATGAATATGAGTATATATGAAAATGTATCAATTAAAGATAAAGTTTCATGTTAAAGTTTTTAATGAAATCTTATTAATACGGCTGTCAAACGAATGAAGTATTTAATCGCAAATAACATAGTGAATTATTGAGTTCAGCAGTGTGTGGATGATGCACATAGAAGAATATATAGATATATATAAAGACACCAGAAAGTACTGTAGATTTATGCGACAGATGTCTTTGTAATTAATGTTTGTGCAAATGACCATGTGTTACAACTGTGGCATTTTTTAAAACTTGTTTTTTAATCTCTTTTTTTTTTAATTCACAGATATCAAAAACAGATGTCAGAGCTCTAGACTTTCATGTGTTCGCATTTGCAGACATTGGTTTGGCTAAAATGTTTTTGAATAGTGGGGGTTTTGAAGAATGGATGTGTGGTTAAAGAAGGAAGTAGAATAAAAATAAAAAAAGGCAGATAAAAGTGTCTGCCAAAATGCATAAATGTAAATGAACAGTCAGCTTTGTTCAAGTACCTCCGAGTGTAGCTGAAAGCAGAAAGTGTGTGCCATATTTCCTGATAATGTTCTCGGTAATGGCACCGAGGGTGGGTCTGCGGCCCAACTGTCTGATGGTCTGCATGAACTCTGGATCGAGGGGTAGAGCCACGCCATTGTCCTCTCTCTCCAGAGCCAGGCTGTTCACCTTCCAGCGCCCAAACTCTCTGCAAGGTCACGCAAAAACACACACACATACACCCTATTTGGAAATGTCCTTCATTTGAGCCACAATAGACACAGGAGGGAGAAATCCTGAACATCACTTTTTCAACAGCTGGGAGAGTTTGTTTTAATATCTGGTTCAGTGTAAGCCACAGTACAGTTTAAGCTGTTTTGAAATTGCCATCCTGTATATTCCCCAAACTAAAAAAAAAAATAATTTTTAAAGAGGGGTCTGAGAAACCTTCACGCAGCTTGAGTACAATGCATATTCAGTTAAGACCTGCTGAGGAGAAAATGCGATGACTGCATGACCTCCGTGCCTGCAATTCAAATCATATTATGCATTCTCTTTATTTTTTTCCAACTTCAGCTTTAGGAATTACTCTGGACTGCTTTAAAAGCTGTTGTCCTCTACATAATGGTGCAATTTGTTTTGTTTTGTTTTTTTCCTCTGACTTTTGCACTGAAGATGGGCTGACTGGGACTAATCTGTAACAATGGCAAGCTTCTTTCTTTCACGGATAAATGGTAAGAGGAGTCAGTTCGATGAGAACAGATGGAATTTTGTTTGAGAAAATCAGCTGCCACTATCCTTTTTCTGTCTGTCATTTACAGCAAAAGCTGTTCAGCACAATACAGTTAAATGTTCCTTATATAACTTTTAGCGCTGCAACTTTATTTAATACTTCAGAATATAGAGAAAACTTTAAAAGAATGATCATCACTATATTGAGTTGCTATGTTACTATGTTACTATTAATTTGGTATGGTAAAAGAAAATACTAGCTAAGAAATGCAGAATGCAAAACACAAAGTGTCAGCGCTGGCCTTCATATTTTAGTATTTTACAGGGATAGTTCACCCCAAAATGAAAATTTTTCATCATTTACTCAACCTGAAGTTGGTTCAAAGTTTCTTTTTTTTGCTGAACACAAAATAATATATTTTGAAGAATGTTGGTAACCAAACAGTTGACGGTAGCCATTGACTTCCATAGTCTTTTCCCCCCATATTATGGAAGTCAATGACTACTGCCATCTGTTTGGTTATACATTCTTCAAAATATCTTATTTTTTGCTCAACAGAAGAAAGAAACTGAGGTCTGGAACAACTTGAGGAGAATTTTCATTTTGAAATTATTTTTCTCTTTAATCTTTTTAATATATATTTTCCTCTACTTTATTTTACAGTACATGCAATTACTTGCAGTGTACTTACCTAAGAAAGTACTGTAATATAAGGTAACTACATGGCTTAAGGTTACAACAGGACTGTAATATAAAAGTCTACCCTAACAAGATTACAGAAGCTGGGGAAAGGCATTTTAAGAACAATGTGCATTTAACAATCATTTTAATTTTTATTAATGTAAAATAGTAAATGATTTTATTTAAAATTAATTGCATTTTATAAATTTTGCTGACTCAAACTGAAAATACTGTATGCAAATCTCTAACCTGAAAATTGATCTGATGAATAAATCTCAGACAAATGTTGTCACAAATGTCAAAATTTAGCAGAGCATACCCTAGGGGTCATTTTGCCTCATTATACCCTATATATTATATTACAGAATATGGCTTGCTAAGTGTGTATCTAAATAATAACAGATGACACTTATTGACAGTGGAAAAGACAATGAGACAGAGAAAGACAAATGGAAGGGAAGAGGGACAGAAAGAGACGAAATGGAGAGAGAAAGTATGATCGACACTGTGTCAGAACAAAAGTTCTTGATGGACAGTTATGGATGGAGCTGGAGGCTAATCCACCACTGAGCCCACGCTACAGCCTCACAGCAGGAGAAGGCATATTGAAGAACTACCTGCCAGACTTCCCCACAGAGACCCACGGCTACACAGAGTCAACGGTGAGAACATGCTCCAGAGGAAGCAGTCTGAAGCCAAAGGGAAACCGAGAATGTCACAGTACAAGCAAATGAGACCAGCTTGTTATAATGTCAGCTCTGTGTTTGAAACATCTGGATGACTCTTACATTCTGTCTTCATTAAGAAGAATGAGTCGGATTTATGCAACATTATGCAACACGCTCTAAATGAGATTTGGCAAAAAAGGTTTTGTGTTAAGCTAAATTACATTCGATTATTAAACTAATTAGTTTCAAGTTGGCTAAAAATGTAATGTGATTAATTATAAAAAAAATTAACAAAAAATAAAATTGGAACAATCAATCATGCTCCATTCCATATGTAATTTCTGTAATACAGGATTTTCCATCCATCTAGTTTGAACTATGATATTAATATTTTTGCGAGTTCACAGACAGATGCTACTGTAGGTATCACGCCTCACCAAACCACATTTACAGAAAGCAAGAAGTACAAAACAGTTAACCTAGAAGTGCAATGGAATGGAACAGAAATCAAAGGGTCTCAAGACCCGTTTTTAAAAGTTGGATCATTTTTGACATGGCAGAAGGCACTTCCCACCACAGTTTTGAATTTTTTATACAAGTGGAAGAAAAGGGGAAAGAGAGAATTCAAAAGTGCAGGCAACAAAATGCAGATGTATGCAAATAAATGCTGTTCAAAAGTTTGGGGTCAGTGATACTTTTATTCTGCAAGGACAGTAAAGACCTTTATAATGTTAAAAGATTTCTCTTTTAAATAAAGACTGTTCTTTTGAACTTTCTATTTATCAAAGAATCCTGAAAAAAAATAAGTATCATGGTTTCCACAAAACTATTAAGCAGCACAACTGTTTGCAACCTTTATAGTAATTAAAAATGTTTCTTGAGCACAAAATCAGCATTTTTAAAAATGATTTCTGAAGGATCATCTGACAAAGACTGTCTGCTGGAAATTCAGCTTTAGCACAGGAATATAGCCTATTACTTTTTAATAATATTACTATTTTATTGTAATTTTGAACAAATAAGTGCAGCCTTGGTAAGAAGAGCCTTTTAAGATAAAAACAAAAAATACAAATCTTACAGCCCCCAAACTTTTGAACAGTAATATTTACTCTGTAAGCTTGCAATACATTACATAGATCATTTGTATCTGCGAAAGCCAATTCATCTGAATTTGCACTCTGCACTGAAAATATATGTGCATGTTCTTTTGCATTTTTAATAATGTTTGAGGCTGTTATTTCACTACGTTGACCTACAAATCGGTTAACACACTCACAGCAAGGATGGATGGCATTTGTATCTAAGACTATCTGTGTCAGGCTGCAACTCAAGCAGTCCATAAATCTAGAAACTCTCATGTAATGAATGCTTGCTGCACGGAAACATGTCAAAAGGTGTCAGTCACTGATTGAGAGCCTGTTAGTCTGTCAGCATTCACGGAGAAAGCCATGTACAGTAGATGCACAACACTGCAACATTATACACACACATGCAATACATTACTTGTGGATTATTGTGATGTTTTTTTTTTCAGCGGTTTGAACTTTCATTCTGACGGCACCCATTCACTGCAGAGGATCCATTGGTGAGCAGGTGATGTAATGTTAATTAATTAATTTCTCTAAATCTGTTCTGATGAAGAAACAAACTCATCTACACCTTGGATGGCCTGAGGGTGAGTATATTATTTTGCAAATGTTTATTTTTGAGTGAACTGTTCCTTTAAAAATTCTTTCAAAAGATATTTTCAAAAGAAGTCTAATTACCAAAGCTGCATTCATTTGGTCAAAATGATAGTAAAACAGCAATATTTATACAATTTAAAATACTTAAATTTTAAACAAACTGGTCCTGTGATGCTACAGCTGAATTTTTATAAGTCATTACTCTAGGCTTCAGTGTCATGTGATCCTTCAGAAATCTTTTTTTTTTTTTCAGAATTCTTTGATGAATAGAAAGTTCAAAAGAACAACATTTATTTGAAATATAAGTATTTTGTAACTTTCCTTTAAAAAATGTATATACTGTGTCATAGTCTTCCATCATGAACAACATCTAGATGTTTTAACATGAAAACAAAAATACTAACAAAACATTCAATGAAACCTTTTTAACAGCTCTAATTTCAAAAGTCATATAAAATTATTATAGTAGCTGGTTTATTGCCAACTACCAGCTGTTTTCATATTGTTGTCTTAACTTGATTTTTATTTCAAGACTAACCTGAGGCAAATTGAGAGCTCAGGCTACACCTCATTAGTTGTGTTTATCAAACACTTCTTCATGCTAAAATTAATCTGATGTAAACACGCTCATTAAGGCCTCAATCATTCCACTGCATAAGTCATTTAGGACTCAATAAATTTTTTGGACCTAAATTTAGAGCTAATTGGTCAACAAAGGACATTCGCTATATTCAAAGAGTATTTCTTCATGCTGAAATATTGAGTCATCAAAGCCCAAGTCATCATCGCTCCTGTCAGTTGTGAGATATGACTTAACATATGCACCTCTGTGCACTTCCATCATTCAATTCCCATAAGGGAAGTCCAACAGCTCGTCTCTCTCAGTCGAGCTCTGGCCCTGATAAACTGAACTAGGAAAACAATCTACCATAGCAATGACCGAGCAGCCAGTAGGTGTTTTGTCCTTGATTGTGTTTCCAATGCAAGTGCAAGCATACTCAGGGGATATACATGTCTTGAAACATAAATAATGAGACGATTAGCTAGGGCCTGACGCTACTAGCCTGATATCTCTCTCTCCCTCTCCTTCTGTTGATCTCTCTCTCTCTCTCACACACACACACTCCCACCCACCTTCTCTTGTTCTCTTATATAGGGTGAATTAGGGTATTCTGGGACACCCAATCTCTGTTGAATACATTTCTGATCTATGATAGCTTTATCAGATAGCTTTAGTATTCAGTAATACTTTACTTACATTTTTTATATATCATTTATTAAAAAGTATTTTAGCCTTCTTCGTGTTTTGGGGGGGCTGGAGATGTTTTGACATGCCCTGATGTTTGTATTTATTTAAGCTACTTATAACATATTAATGACTACAGTCTGATTACACTATATTCAGCACAAACTGTGCTTTAATAATATGTGACCAGCATGAATGCACATTTGCATTTTTGCATGAATTATGTCCTGTAACTCACCTTATAATGCATTGTGTGATTTCATGAATACTTATAACCACAGTTATAATACATTATCTATGCATTGTTACACTTTTAGAAAGTATAATGTAGTAAAGCACATGGCAAACAACCAATTTCAGATGTAAAAAAGGAATCTGCAAATATTGTAGTGCATTTTAACTTTCATTACAATTATTTATGAAAATATATAATGCATTAGAATGTACATTCTACATAAAGGCTACAAATTAAATGTTACCGCATATTCTAGTTGGGTTGTTGTATGATAAAGTCCTATTTATTGGTATGAAGGTCAAAAATGCAAAGAAGCCCAAGATTGCCATAATTCACCCAAGTTGCTAGCTGATTTGATTGCTTTTGGAACTACTTCCCTTGGTGATGCAAAAATAAACAAAATAACTGACCATATTGTCTGTAAAATGTGAGTTATTCGAAATTAACTTCTTGTTCAAATAACCTTTGTAAAAGCAATATCGTGCTGTTGGATTTAAATTAAATTCTCCTTGACTTGTATAACATATAACTGGTGCAGGAAATATAATAAGGACAAAATAAATCCAACAGTAAAGAAGAGGAGTGCAATGCAACCATTTCATTCCATGAATAAAAAATAAAAAAAACTTGTCAAATATGCCATACCGGAAGCCCTTCATGTGTTTAATTTGAAATTCCACACCGGTGAACATCACAGTCTTTGCTCCAGTTTGATTTCCAGGACAACACCAAGATATAGTCGTTTGATAAGAGCAGTTCAAAGAATTTCTACAGAACCTAGCTGTCAGTAATGTCCTGTACACAGTACACACACACGACTGCATTAAGTTAAATATCCCTCTAAAATAGCACAAAGTATAGAGCCACTAATTGAGCAATCAATGATCTGAGGCTTTTATGGAAAATCTTCAGACATTATTGTCGTTAGGCTAAACATTTTCCGTCTAAATCTATTTAAATTCTGAAGAGGCCGGAGGCTAATAGACCTCTAATGCTTCAGGCATTAATAACACTTATGACTTGTACATATTTTTAGGATGCATAATAATTCAATTATATTTATTCCTCTTAAACCCTTTCAGATGCTTTCTTAATTGGAAATCCTGATTTATTCAACATGGTCCTTATTCAAAGCTGGATAAGCAGCGGTCTGGCTATGTGCTATGGTTATATATGTTTTTAATTAAGCATTTTACAATTTTACTTTAAGATTAATTACATTAATATTGAAAAATGTGAGCCATACGTTTATAGATTTTACCATATTCCTTAAATCCCTTAATATCTTCTTTTGTTTACAGTTTTATATATACAGACTTGTATACTGAAGTAATGACTTACTAATTAATAAAAAGGTAATAAACTGTAGCACCATCATCAACACGAGCACATAAAAGCAGACATTAAAGCCATACAGCTCAACTCTCCTGCTCTGTATACATAATTCAAGATATTTAAATATGTGGCCAATGCCATTTAGCATCTGAAAACACTAGCATATATTTTAAACACAACCAATTTTTTTTAAATAAGATGCATTTAAATCTTCCTAATACTTTTTTAATTCCAGTAAAAGATCAAAAGTACACATGTCCTGTCTAATTCAGATGTAAAAAGCATCACAGGCTCTGTCGACTTTACACATCAAGTCCCATTCCAGAGTGCAGGAAAACTTCAGCAAGACAGTGTTTGCGTGGGAGAATTACTGCTTATCTTCACTGTTGCTCACACAGCTCTGGCTAAGCCTTGTGCTCGTGGAGCTTCGCTATTAGCATCTCTGGGAGGAACAAGTGAGCACGTATCTGCTCCGGCAACCTTTTCCGCTGCCATCGGCTCGTTGTCCGCCTCACCCACCCATCCTCCCGTGCAGAACCCTCCCATCACACACTTGTCAGGCAGCATATGTCTGGTGTTTTATGAGATCCCTTTCATGCATCTGACAGGAAGGATAGACACTTTGACTGACTCTTTACTGTACCCTTGGGCTCTGTTCAACCTTTGGCGGAAGGTAAATGGGGAGAATGAGAATATAACATCTGACACAAATTTACCTTCAATCTATGTCACCACACACCTAACTGTTAACACAAGCAAGTTCCTAACAAAATACAGTAGGTGTGTTTTCGCAAACGCAAACAAACTGCAGATGCTGATGTTGTACAATTTTGAGGCGAGAATTTTAGGGATTTATTATTCAGACTTCAGATTTTACAACCAAGCAGGTGGGACAGCGGCTCAAGATTTATTGTGATCATGTAATGAACACAGGTTTGAGTTGCTGAATATAAAAGCAGCGCTAGACTGTAAAAAAGAGAGAGAGAGAGTTTTCGAAGTTATAAATAAAAATGACTGGAGAACATTTTACAAAAAAATACTATTTCAGTCATTCTACTTCAAAATTTCACACTTAATTCAACGTATTATCATTTCTTTGTAATTATTTGCGAAAATTACAGCCAATTTCTGAGTGAAACTTGCTTCTACACTTTTCTCAGTGTACAAACCAATACAACATTGAATTTCAAAGTAGTCTATAAAAAGACCAAAGAAGAGATGATAGAATGCCTAAAACTGTTCCAATGTCACACATCATTATCATTTCTCAAATGTCTCATACAAGACAAAGAGTGTTAAGAGGCCAGGAAGCAGAATTGATTATCTCTCAATTCAGATCTGTGGCAGATGCAAACCTGTCCCTCTCTGTACTGCCAGTGTGAAAGCAAGGTACTTAAAAGTCATTCAGGCACAAGGGATGTTGGGATAGGAGCCCTGTCTAGCATGCAAAGTAAAATCAGGTAGACTCACGCACACACACATGCGCACGCGAGCTGCAGGTTTCCACCAGCAGGGGGAGATCTGACATTGAGAAAGCACAACTGTACTTTTGTTGACTCCTATAGTATGCCTCTATCAAAAAAAATAAAGCCAGTGGAGCATTCACAGATACACACGTATGTTGAGGAGAGGACATACTGACTAACCCCAATGTTGCCATCTCCATCTGTGCCTGGCAGTGTGGTCCAACGGCCCTGCCAAATGAGCGTGTCAGTCAGGTTCAGTTCAGCCAACACTTTTCCCGCTTTTTTTCTCCTCCCCTTTTGGGCTGTTTATCACTTCATCTAATCCTCAGCTCTAACACAGCACAAGTTCCCGCAACACCTCACCTCACATCAGTTGCAACTAATAATCTGGTATTAAAAGTTTCGAACCACACTTTGAACTTGAAAACAGTTGTCTAGTTTCTTAAAAACTCTTAAAGTGACTCCTCGTGAAACACATTGTTCACCCAGCATATCAGTAACATTATAGCATATTAAAAATATTTTAACATCCATCAGTAACATTTTAGCATATTTGAAAAATTTGAATTACTACCTAATTACTACTTTCCCCCAGTCCATATCGTCCATACATATTTACCGTATATATGTATACCAAAAATACCATATATATATATATATATATATATATAAAATTTTGGGGGATGTTTGCTATGCAATATAAACGTATACATGGTTTCGTTTATATTGCATAGCAAAAATACCCAACAATTTCCATCAGTACAGGCATGTGGCAATTTGTATATGGAAGTTTCTTTTCTATTCTAATCTAAAGTTTACACACCAGTAAACAAACCAAGCCTGCCTCCATCAAAGTTTCTTGTTAACTTTGTTATGTGGTAAAATGTGTACAAATAAATGAAAAGCACCATATAATTCTGCATACCATGAAAAATTCCAACACATTCTACACACCAGTGGCAATAAATAACAGAAGTAATTATCCAACTCACCTGTAAATCTTATATTTGGTTGTGAAGCCCTGCTGATAACGCTCCACAAATTCTGCAAATTCTTGTGAGTGATGAAAAGGCCCTTTATCTGAAAGGAGCCACCCAAAAGGACCAGCGGCATCATGGGAGGCTACCACAGGGGCTAGAACCCAGCAGTGAAGGCTTAGTACAACACACACCCATAGACTCATCAGATACGCCAGTCTAAAATCAGTACACTGGCAGCTCATGCTTCACCCTGCGACTCGACATTCTCTCCAAACTTTCCTCGCCTTCTGAAACAACAAAGACAATACAGTAAATTCAAGTGTGTAGCCTATAACAGTTTCCTGACACCTACTTTTTTTCTAACGCAGCTGTAAATACATTTTCAATGTTTTTCCAGGCCAATGCCATTTTTCCAGGGTTTTCAATCTGGGGTTCCTAAAGACTATGAGGTCTGTGGAGACAATATATAATTATATACTTGATCATTTCTAATTCTTAACTAATTTTTATCTTTCTGACTATTGTTAAGCACTATATAATGTAGCATTAGTCATTATTGCTCTTAATGAAAATTATTATAACATGTTACCGGGAAAAAATAGCATATTTTATATGGAGATCCCTGGGTCGTCTGGCAGTTTGGCAGGGGGTCCCAGGGTCTTTAAAAATTAAAATCCTCTGATATAAAGTATAAAAATAGACTTAAGCCATCAAATATATTTCCATACATACGCATAATATATATTATATTGTAATTTTCAGCCATTTTCAAGCCATACTGTGTTTCAGAAACATTCTTCTCATCAATACAGTAAAATTAAGTCACATGCATTTCTCTAACGCAAATAAAAGGATTATGTAAAGATCATGCTTGTGATTATAATTCGTTTTTAAATTATATATTATTTTAAATACTGTATTATATTTATAGCCAACTTGTAGTTTAATTTAATCATATTTATTATAAGTTTACCTTCTCCAGGTGTCCGATGTTTCAACCACTGAAGTCAACAACCTCTACAGTTCTACAGTTAAAAGCAAATGATTGTAAAGGCAAAGCATAGGGAGATTGTTGAGGGTGACCTTTGAAAATTTGGCTCAGTTCAACTTGTTTTAAACATCATCGCGAAGCGAGAAGAGCCCTGGAAACCAAGCATCCCACTCTCTGTTTCCGCTATCGATTATATTTCCAACGTCTTGTGCCGTATAATCCGGGTGAAGAAAAACTATAGCGAGGAGAAGTGGTCGCTCTGTCTTCACTCTTCTCTCTCCAGGTAGACAGGTCTCTTGTGAATTGGAAGTTACGGTGAAGCAATCCCATAACCATCAACGATTGACGCGATTAAAGTCTGCTGTTTCCACTCGGTCGACACATTAACTTAACCCGGTGTCCAAGAAGCACTAAATAAATGTAGACTCCGGAGGTCCACTCTGTGCAGCTGCGCGTATGTCGGATGCTCAAACCCGACGCTTCCCATACACACCATGAACATATCTAATTTATTTCAGAGACAAGCCTCCCCCACTCCTCATTGGCTGCGAGCGGGCGAGAGGGGCGGGGTTTCCGCGCTGAGAGAATGTACTTTGTCAGGGTCACAATGAGTTTCAACGTTATGTGCTTGTTATGAAAATAATATTATACTTATTTATGAATGGGATATTTATGATACAAAATAATAGCCTGCTCTAGCTGCAGGATCGACATTATATTCAGTCAAGTCATTATCAGGCTCACAACATTGACAGTGGCAAACTATATTAGAACATGGCTTAATAGGTATAAACTGAGATGTATTGGGCTTATTGTTGCATTACTGTTAAGCCTTATACCTTCTGTGCTAAAAAATACATACATATTTAATATATACCTTCAATTTTGTATAGAAAAAAAAAATCTGCTTCAACCAAAGTAAATATTGCTTTTATTTATATTTATTTTGATAATATGTTCACTTTATTGTGATATTGCAAAAAAAAAAAAACATACATAAAATAATAATAATAATAATAACCAACATGATTTCCGTAAGATGTGTGGCTTTCATATTTGATCTGAATATATTAACATATCAAGGGAAAATGTACTGCATAATAGGAATCATAAAATGTTGTCTCTTTTGGATTATTATACACAAATCAACATTTCTAACATAAATAATTGCACTTTTTACAGTTGTTGTTTTTTTTTTTCAAAACTTCATACTTATCTATGAGGTTGCAATGGTTATTTAAGATAAAATAAATGACAAACCTCTACCCAGACAAATGAATAAGGGTGTCATATATTATCTTATCTCAAACAGTGTACATGATTATGTTCTCAATGAGATTTTTACCATAAAAATAAAAAAAAATTAAAGGAGTGCACTGGACTGTCCATGCTGACAACTGTTTTAAACACAAGAATGAGCAGAAACAGTCAGACATTGGCTTCCAATTGATTCTCAGTGATCGACCGTGAGAGGAAATGAGCAATCTTGGGAGGAAAGGAAGGGAAAGAAATCAAAGACAAAATCAAATCAAGTCCTCAGTGAGCGAGTGAGAGAAATATCAGCACCATTTTTGACGAGATGTTTTCAGATGATGCGGATAGTGAAAAGACATCCACAGGATAAGTGGCAGATCAGTATATAGTGCAGAAAACAGCTGTTTGACAAAGCTGAGATAGCACTCTTTAAAGCCAGTCGACTTTCGAGTTGAGATCTAGATCATGGTAGTGTGCGAGATCACAAAGCAGGAACATTTATCAATGCATAGACAGGAAGTCATTACAACAGGTAAATATTCACTTAAAATGCAGCCTTGATGGAGTCAATGAAGCAGGGACGTGCACAGACATTTTGAGGGGCAGGGGCTCAAGTGGAAAAAAGGGCACTTCTCATATTTATTGAAATTTTTTTGACTTACAAATGAGGATAATGGAAGCAACCAAAATCAACAAAAGAGCAATGATATGCAAGTGCTATAACAAGTGCTAGAGTTAGAGGGTCAAATAAAGATGGAAGAGAACAGACAGAACGCGCACTGGTCTAACCTAGCTAAACTTTAGCTAACTAACTTACAATGGTAGCTCGCATGAGTCAGGGATGTTAGCAAGACAAATTAACTATAATTGCCTTTTGTCTTTTGGGTAATTAACTGTAAATTCGAGGCACAGGTAGCTTAGTCTTTTGTTCATCACCACTCACCTCCACACCAAGACAAACACAACTGAAAAGAGAGGGAGGGCTTCACTTCTGCGGCTCTCTGCCTGTCTGTGACTGTGATGTGCCGATCAATGTGTGCTACACTGCTGTGCTGCGCGGAGACGTGGAGGGATTCTCATATTTATTAAAATTTTTTCCTAAACAAAACGTTAAATATATTAGGGTTGTGCGATATTGACAAAAATATATCTTGATATTTTCTGGGATTTTATCGATAACGATAATTAGACAATAGACAGCATTTAGCTGAGTGTGTTATTGTGCTGATATCTGATAAGGATCAGGTTGATAAGGACTACCCTGGACAGCTGACTTCTAAAGTTTTTGATATTCTGCATATTCTGTGTGGTGATCAGTTCACAACAGTGATAGAAATTAATCTTTTCCAAAAAATTTAAATTGATTTTTACATTTTATGGGCATTTTTACCTTTATAAAGCCATTTTTTTCTAAAAGTGTGCATCATCTTTTGAGTCAAATTAATGCAGGACATGAATGTTTTAACCTGCAGTTACAAATGCATTAAAGCTGTTTTGATATTTTAAACATAAAATATTGAATACTGATATTTGATTTTTTTTTTTAAATGAAAAGATATTTTAAAGGGGTCATATGATGCGATTTCAATTTTTCTTTTCTCTTTGGAGTGTATACAACAATAATTCGGTTTTAACTCAACAAACACGAGATCTAATTTCACCATAATATTGTGCTTTGCAACAAAACTGTTACAAGTTCAGTTATTATTTATTTCCATCAGTTGGGGTAACGTTAGGCCCTGTAATTAGCCAACGGAATTTTCAAATCTGTGTAATTATAATTTAAATCGGACTACTTTTCAAATTGTATTTCATAAACCAACATCTCAGACGTTATGTCAAAACGTTATGGGGTTTCAAATCAAAAAATGACTTTCTGTTACAGAACAGGGCATTGATTTCATACATGTCCACTGTAGAGGACATCAGGACTTAAATCATGTTTATCAGGCATTTTGGGAGACACAACAAGTGAATATGGAAATAAATTATACATCAATATTCCTATGAAATATTAGATATTATTATTAAAATGTTGCCAATTATTACTCCAATTATTACACTTCTTTTTTCATTAAATGTTGCTCCAAGAACACATTAATATGCAAATTAGATACAGTGTATAATGTATATTTAAGATAATATTTAGATAACTTATACTGTCATATTTTGTGCAGAATTGTGTTCTTGTCTTTTGGCAATGTTGGAGGTGGAGATTGTGCACCTTAAAAAGTGTGTTTCCTGTTGTAATTGCAATAGTTAAATAACTGGATTCTCTTAAGTGTGTTTTTCAAATGTTCTAATGAAGGATTTGTGCAATTGAGAAATATAATTTTCTCTTTCACTTATGTTGTTATAATAAAATATAACTGTTTGTGCAGAATTTTGTAGGGGGTCTCGGCCAGGGTGTAATTCAATGTAGAACCGCCACTGGTTCCAGAACACTTCAACCCAAATATTCAGACCGTTTCCTGATCCTGGTAGAGTAGACTACAATGCCGGCTGTTCTGACTCACAGACTG